TTTTGTCCAATCGACGCCCACCTGTCCTGGTCCATTTACACCGTTAAGCCAATTATGCCGGTTTATAAAGCTAATAAATCAAGCTGGAATTAACGCGGCCTGCACTCAGCGCAATTTTTTCGAGACATATTAACCCTTTTTTCGTTAGAGGCCGCTACAAATGAAACTGGCATTAGGCGAGCGCCAGACCGCGGCTAGACAAAAAGCCAGACGACAGAAAAAATGGGGAAGGAGGGCTGCTGAGATGGTAGTCTGTGCGAATGGGCATTCTCGAGAACACGCAAAACCACTCTTAACTCGTTTACTTTATTTATGGCCATAATTTGTTAGGCAAGAGGTCGAAAACTAAACGCAGAACTCAGCCAAAAAGGGCGCAGCTGGCAGAGGAAGTGGAAACGCGGCAAGGTGCGATGCATAATTAAGATAATAAAATATTAATTAAAATTAGGTTCATGCATATGCAAACACGTTGGGTGGAGGCGAAGAACTTAAAAAGATGGGGTAGACAAATATTTGCATGAGTCTCCATGATAATGACGTTGATTAGGACGATGACGTTGCTGTTGATAGCCTCGTTATTGGCCCGCCGACTTGCCTTTAATTAATTAATTAAAAATGCAGAACAAACTTTGTCTTTGTTTTATGCAAATTTTCACATGACCAAAACCAAACACCTGCAAAAAAAACAGCCTGTTAAAATTAATGCAAAGCCCGAAAGGGTTAGATGGCCGCCGGGTATGACAGAAACGATTTAAGGAATGTCCATCAAAAATGGGAATAATTTAAAATACATTCTCTACAAAAATGGGAATATAAGGGAAACATTCGTTAAATTCATTAAAGGTAAATCTTATGTGACAAAATAAAATTACTATGCTTTAAATTTTTTTACAGAAATATTCATAATCATTTTATTTTAAAAGCTAACATATGTCCACATCAAAACTTATAGAGTATTCAAAAAATGCAGGTTCGCCAAACTCCTAAGCTCTTTTGCTAATTTTCGGTTTTATTCGGCCAAGTTAACCCTTGATGGCTAATGGAAATCCGATGTTTACCTTTACGATTAGGGCGTGTTTAAACACAGAAAAAAGGGCAGAAAATATGTGGGATATAACCGCAAAGCGCGAAATCTGATACATTCGGCTTTGACTTTGCCTCTTTGCATAATTTATTTGGCTCTGGCTTTCATTACTGTTTTGTTATTTTTTTTTTCTTCCAGAGTGCTTATGGATAATTTTCGGTTTGGGCCAACCGCTTAATCACCTTTACCTGACACATGTGGGCAACTAATTTGTGAATATTTCTTCCCTGGGCAATTGGAAATGTCAAGAGGAATCGCTTTGGGATTGGGGTTCGGATTGAGTTTTGGAGTTTTTGGAGTGAAAGCGAAAGCAATCTACGGGTTCGGTAGACCAAAAATATTTGACACACGCATGTGGCGACCCTTGCTCCCATGATTGATGGGTGACCCCGATTCTGCCCCTTGCCCAATTTTTTTTTTTGTTCCGTTGCATTAATTAACTAATTTAATTTTGGCTTTTTTAATCCATTTGAATCGTGTTCTCGCTTTTGAGTTGGAAAATTTATGCAGACACATATGTATATTGGGCATCTTTTTTTGCAGAGAAAAAGAGGGGCCTTATCGCTGGCTTTCACTCATTTCCCACTCCGCCCCTTTTGGCCATAATTTACGCATGCCTGGGGGCGTGGCTGGTCGGTGCCAGTGCATTTGACGGATCCTGATGAATTCTGACAGGGCAGGCGAGAAGCATAATAGCCAGATTGGCACCATAAATTCATCCGTCCGGTCATTTTAAAATGTTTCACAATTTTCCCCGCTTTTCGGACGTATTTATTTGCATTTCTAATGATGTCCGGCCAACCACTATCCGAATTTCCCATTCCGTCAAGCCCCAACTGTCCGTATACATAAATCGGCAAACAATCAATTTTTAGTGCATCTCTGGACATTTCGATATGGACATGAACATAATGTTGATGCTTGTGCTCTTTCCCTATCATTGTGATGAATGCAATTTGTGGCTGACGAATGGACTAATTTTGCATAGACCAAAGTATTTATGGTCATTTTGAGCGATATAAAGGAGGTTTATGGTCGCTGCTTCGAATGTTTTGTATTTTTGAATAGCTCTTTTATAAATACAAAAAATATATTTTTGTATTTGAAAACTTTAGTTCAACTGTGCTTCTTTCTTACGGCAATTTTTGTACTAATTCCGAAACCCAGCCAACTTAAAAATGCAACGCTTTTTGTTTAAATTCAATTCGCCTTTTCTTTAAAAATATTTTTATACAACCTGACATTCTTTTACCTGCTTGATATTTTTGCCAAAAATATTTCATAATTTTCTGGCTTTGCTGCTGCCTCGCAATGCTCACCCAATTAAATTTGTGAATTTCTGCGAGAGCCAAACCAAAACATTTCCGACCAAAAGTGGCCGACAAGAGACAATGACAAGGATGTCAACGTTGCCGCCTTTTTAAAACGCAAATTCCATGAAAGCAGTCAGCATGTCAACGTTTTGGTAGCCGTGTCTGGACCAGGTCCAGAAGTCGATGTTATGGTAGGGGGCTTAGAAAAACATGAAAAATTTAAACAAGCCGGCGAAGACGAACATCCAACACTGGGATCGGTTCGCTCTGTGTTTTCGTCTGTCTGCAAAAATTGCAAGTGACAGGCAATTCATCATTCATTTGGTTTTAGACTTGACTGACTGACCAGCTTCGGTTCTGGATTGGGCCAGGATTCGAGGGCGAATCGGCGGGAGCTGCGGAACTTGAACAGGCATCCCGATTCCGCCTCCTTTCGAATGATGAGGGGAAAGACTCCTTTTTTGTCTGTGGCATGCAATTTTATGGCCAGCAAACTTTTAGCATAGCCATCGCTTTGACAATTTAATGCATTTAAAGCTTTACAAGAGCAGGTCCTAGGCTGCCCAGCACGCAGCCTCGACCGCCCATGGTAAATGGCACAGTGGTTGTGGTGAAGACATTTCTTGCGGCTACAATAGGAACACAGGGCATTTCATATTTTCTATGTTAAGAAACCCAAAAATATTTGTATTGCAAATTAGAAATATGATTTCTAATGAGAAATAATCTTAAATTTTTAATACGATCTTTTAAATGTTCGCCACCAACTACTTAATTTTTTAGGAAAGGTTTATGAAAAACTCGTATACTTCTTTTATAAAACCAAAACTAGCTTCTTCTTTGGATTCTGTAAATAAAATAAATGGGCTTTAAGTTTTTGTTAAATTATTTAATTAGTTTAAAACTCTTCAATTGCAATCTATAAAATAGATCTGCCTTTGTACTTCCATAAATAAATCGGATTTCTATTTCTTTTCTTTTTCTTTTTTTTGTTTTTTTTTTTTTTTTTTCTTTTTTTTTTTTTTTTTTTTGTTTTTTATATGTTATTCCATCAAAGTACATAAGTACCTCTAAATTATTGTATATTCCCCATAGTTCATGATTTCGTTAGCCTCAAACATTACCCCCAAATTGAGCTTTCCAAATGGAACATTTTACTTTGGATGCAATCAAGGCCACCACTTCTCCCACCACTTATTTAAGCACTTTTCTGGGCGACGCCACCCACTGTAGTGCCGACTGGTGTTTCGGTCTTTGGGAATTTTAAATTGTTTTAATGCGTGCGTCGAGCATCCTGAGACCAGACCACGCCCCGTCTCGTCGTCTACGTCTACGGATGATGTCGTCAAATTGGAGGAGCCCTATGCTCCCTCCGCCTCCTGCAGGATCAATCAATTTTTTAGCACACTCGAACTCGAACCCGCCCTCGAAGCTGATGAAGTGCGGCCTCTGGGAACGGGGGACTGAATCTCAAAAACTGTTTAATATGCAGCGAGTGACACCGCCGAGCGCGACGACATTGAGCAACTGCACCAATTTCGGAGTGAGCCGGCGGAGGTGTCTCTTCCTCCTGATCCTCCTCATCGACTGCAATTCAATCCCATCCATCTTTTGTCGGTTGACTGCAGTTCATAAATTTTTAAACACTCGCCGGCGCGAACCAAAACAAACAAGTTTGGGATCGCCGCCAGGATGGAAGAACGCAGCCCAAAACGAGTGACGGTGTGTGGACCGATGGAGACAGACACGCATGTAATCAATTTTTATATTTTAGAAGAATCCCCCCAAGTGAGGCAGGTGCAGCTCGACGACCAGGTCTATTATAATTGGATTACCCATTGGAGTTGAGGGGAAACGATAAACTGAATGTTCTCGCATTCTCCTACTCAGCGAAAAGTGGTCCGGACTAGTCTGCCCGTTTGTTGGGGGTCCTGGCCAACTCTGTTCTCCGGACTTTTGCACCCTTTTCGAAAGGCACTTGTTTTAGGAGTAGAAAATTAAAAGGCACAGAAGGAGACAAAAGCCAATTAATGTTCGACAAATGCAGCTTTACAGCAACCGCTTAATGGAAAACCTAATTGCGGCGAGTATTATTAGCTTACGTTAATAGGATGGTTAGACACGAATTTAACTGCCCATTCTATTACAAAATGTAATAAACTTTTTGTATAAGTACCCTTAATAAGGCATTAAATTAGTAATTTCGGTGGCAAAAAAATCGTTAATATTAATATTTAATTGTATGTTTTTAGTACAAAAGGAATATTTAAACACATATTGCTTTTACCTTGTTTAATATTTTATTATTGCATCACAAAATCAATTTAATTTTGATAAAGGCAACTAACACATTTCCGGAAAGAGTTTTAAATAAAAAAAAATAAAATTTTAAATTTTTGAGAAAATGAGTTACACTATTTATTATTTTTAATGGAAATTTGTTTTCCAAAAGAGTATTATCTCTTTATGTGCATATGTGTTAAGAATATAAGCAATGCTCTGGTTTTCATAACTCAAATAATGTCTGACATATAAAGCCGGGTTGATCTTGGCTAAAAGTGTTCGATTTTGCTTTGGTAGAAGGCTGTGCTTTAATTGCCGGGATGTTTTCCTTTGTGACCCAGCCGTTTCGGCCTTTCTACTGCCTTTTGTATGGACCTGAGAGCCAGGATAATTTCCGGATCCGGTGCCTTCGTCGGCTGCTCAGTTTCCTGTTGGGCCTGGTTTTGGGTCACCTCCTCTGGAAACTGGTGGCTCTGAACTTCAGCTTGGGCCGCCTGTTCGCCCACGGACCCACCGACCTCTCCGTCTTCACGATCTTCGTCTTGCTGACCGGAACGGCCTTCATGCTGAGTCGTTCAACTCGAACTGTGATTATGTTGATATTCGTGGCACTGGTGGGCAAATCTGGAAGGACATATTTCCGAGCTGTGGCCTTCGCCTTCATCATATCCGGTCCCATAGATAATCTGGTTGCAAATGCAGGCGAAGTGGCCCGGGTGTTTGTCTGCACCACTATGCTGACTTACAATCTCTCCAAAACCCGCTTCGATCTGATGGCCAAACCGTTTACAAACACTTTAAAGCACATGCGCGGGGATGTGGAGGAGATACGCCAGACCTTCGGGGAATTGCAAGGGGTCCTGGTGGATCTTAAGTACGCCGTGGAACACTCGGACATCGAGGACGATAAATATGGTGACAAGAAGACTAAGCCCCTGTACGAAAGATGGGGTAGGGAAGCCCGAAAGATGAATATTAGTGGCAATGGAATGGTGGGCAAGGAGCTACCAACAGCCGCTGAAGCTCAGGAGCGTTTCCAGAGGAACATGAGGAACCGCTGCAAACATCAGCTGCAAAGTGGCCATCGGGTGTGCCTGGAGGTGTTTCAGCAGGGTTATCGCAAGTGCACCACCAATTTTCCACCACTGATAGGCAAGGCCATCTGTTGGCCCTATCGCGTGGACATCATCTGCGAACTAGATCTCTTTGGCAATCCGGACAAGATATGTGACCCGTCCGATGTTGTGCCGCGGAACTTTGGAGAGACCTACGTGCAGCTATTAAAAGCCGAGCAGGAACTCTTCGACAACAGTTCAGAGATACAGGTCAGCTATGAGGTGAAGGACGAGGAAATAGCCAGGAGCAAGCTGCAGTCCGCCCAGAGAACTTCAGAGGCTTTCACCAAGGACTTCGAACGCCGAAGACGCATTTTTAACCGGGTTATGGGTGTGTTGCAGAAGATTCTGTGTTTGTTTATGCTGCGCATGATTTTCGTATCCATCAATTACTATCTAAAGTATCTTGGTGACGTGGAGTTCGACAACTTCTACATCACCGATTACTTTAAGCATGTGGACCAGAGGCGCAAAGATGAGCGCAATGATGCGATTTTGCCACTGCGCACCTACGAGAAGTCCATGTACATCGACCTGAGTCACATTTTCAGTCGCACCCACGAGGAGTCGACTACTGTATTCTTTAGCTTGATTCAGTTTCTGCTGGAAATAGTCACTGCAGGTCTATTTATTTTGATCGACCACATGGTGGTCGAACTGCTACAGATCATCCGAATGCGATCACTGATCACTTATCACCAGGAGGGCGAGCATGAAGTGAGATTTAATGTGAGTGATAGATATTTAAGAAGTTAAAAAATCTAGTTTATTTTATATATAATACCCTGATATTTATAGATAAGTGGTGTGGGACAAATGGCGAGACTGCTACGCACCACCATGCATAACTTCAATATCCACGAGCGGGTCTCCACTTCGCTGACCAACGAGGAGTGCCTGCCCGATGCCCACGTGCTGCCCAGGTCCTTCTACTACAAGCTGCTCCTGCTCTATCTGGTAATCCTGCTACTGATCTACCAGAGCACCACCTTCCTGCGAATGCGTCGCATGATTTGCAGCTTTTTTTACTACAAGCGGGAGAAGCAGCGTATTCTTTTTCTGTACAACCGCATCCTGCGGAGTCGACTTAGTTCCCTCGAGAATTTAGTTCGCAGTGCCGAAGACAACTTGGCCACATATCGCGTCCAGCAACACGTCAATCTCTTCTTGTGGCTACGCTTCTCATGTCCTTCGCTCTTTGGTTGGCTCCGATTCTTTAAATGCGCCAAAAGGAACTGCCTAATTTGTCAAGGATTCGAAGATGCCACATTTACTTATTGCCATACCTGCGGTGTATCCTATTGCGACGACTGCGCCGAGGATCTCAACAGTGTTTGTCTGCAGTGTGGGACTGTACTTTCAAGGATACCAGAGGATTCGGACAGTAGCGTCGAGGTGTACGCTTACAGGAAGGAGAAGTGATGTATCTAAGGATATATATATATGTTAAGAAGCAGTCCTCTACATTTAAAATACTGGTAATACTATTAATTGCATTTTTTTGTGGTAAATATATCTCTTTTTGAAAGAGTGCCTTCAAGGCAGTCTTTAATTCTACCAAAGACAGGTTAAATGTCTTCCCTTTCTGGTACAAAGTCCTTTAACGACATTACAAAAGTTTTTCTCATATGTGCCGAAAGCATTTGGCAAAGTTTACCCTTTGAATTGGATATGCTCTTCCCACTAGGGGAATACTTGGCAATCATCTTCCAAGAACTTGGTCCCTTAATCCCACTTGCACTACCCTTTTATTAACTGTCCTTCTGTATGATAATCATATCTTCAACCTAATTGCCATTTTTCCAGTCTGTCAAACTTAATTCTCAACATTTCGCCCCAGCCACTCCCAACTATTTCCTCGGCCGATGGCACTGTCTGCCAGTTGTCTACTGTAAGTTGGAAAACAGTTCTTTGCAACAAATACAAGCATCGCTCAATTAGTTGTCCACCCTTTTGTCTGGGCCACCCTAATTCCCCACCCTGCCCCCCTGTTTCAACATAATTATGCACATGTCTGGTGGAGCTGGAAAAACTTTTTGTCCTTAGACAAACTTTGCTCAAGCGGCGCTGATTCGATTATGCCACTGGAAAGCGAACTGGAGGAGAATTTCAACACTATGAGCAGCAAGGATTAAGTTACAAAATTGTTAATTAAAAATAATAAAAACGCTAATTGAAGAAATGCCTACAGTAATGCAGAACCTCCTTTTTCGGCAAACTGAAAACGGTAACAAAAGTTTTTCGGTTGAAAATTGTCTAGACTTTTGGGATCAGCCAAGATGGTGGGTTGGGCTACTGGGTTGGTGAAAATGTGAAAACGCTTTCGGGCATTTTCCTCGACGACAAACTGGGATGAAACAGTTGCAACAATGACGACGACAAAGTCTTTCGCCCACGCCCTGCTCTAGTTTTAATATTCATAAGGCTTTTGGCCTCTGCCGTCTGGCTGCAATAAAATAATTATGCAAACAAGGGGGGACTGAGAGAACCACAAGTGAAAAGGAGTTGCGTCTTTCTATTGAAATTTCACACATTTCGCTGGAAAAAACGACACCGAAAAAATGCGCAAAATTTTCTTACGAAAAACAAATACTACGGCTAAGGTGGAATCCACATTCAGACACTAGACTGGTCGGCATGCCGTGTGCAAAGGTGATTATTTGACGTTCACACCTTGTTGCAGTGACTCCCTCCCTTCGAGAGATAATGGGGCGAGGTCGTCGACGCTCGTCGGCGGTTGTTGTGATCAGCCACAGAAGTGACAGGTGTGACACTCCGCCCGACAGCTCCCAGTACTCCAATCCCGACCCTCTACGCCATCTGCCCAATGCCAGACTATGAAGACGCAACTAGACGAGGCGAGACAGTGGTGGGTACTGAAAAAAAGATGAAAAAACCAGCGGAGAATTATTTCCTAGAAAACTGCAGACGGATGGTTGAACGAGCAGTGTAAAGACCAGAAAACACAAAAAAATGAGCGAAAACTAGAGCTTAAGGAGGAGTACCGACTATGATATACACTTTTTACAATACGAGTGTCTTATAAATGTTTTTAAAAACTAAAATGGTTAAAATGGTAGATTTCTAGATTTAAATCTGTTTAGATATTAATTATTTTTCTGATACATACTTTTGTTTCAATGTTTTTTACTAGACCAGAACTTGTCTTTTTAGGCCATAAGACGTATAATAAATAAAAAATAAATCAACTAAGAATATTTTGTTAAAGTTGATCATAATTTTTTATTAATATTATATAATAATAAATAAACCTGATAGATTTTGGTTACATGGCAGTATTATGACTATTTCTTTTTGGCATGCCACGAAAAGTATTTGCTAATAAATGGAAAAGTTCAAAATAATATTTAAGTTACCTATTTTAATCACTTTGCCTACTTTCTTAATATTTATACCCTTGCAGAGGGTATTATAATTTTGGTCAAAAGTGTGCAACGCAGTGAAGGAGACATCTCCGACCCTATAAAGTATATATATTCTTGATCAGGATCACCTCCTGAGTTGATATAGCCATGTCCGTCTGTCCGTCTGTCCGTCTGTCCGTCTGTCCGTCTGTCTGTCCGTCTGTCTGTCCGTCTGTCTGTCCGTCTGTCTGTTTCTACGCGAACTAGTCTCTCAGTTTTAAAGATATCGAATTGAAACTTTGCACACACCCTTCTTTCCTTTGCACGCAGTATATAAGTCGGAACGGCCGGGATCGCCCGACTATATCCTATAGCTGCCATATAACTGAACGATCGGAAATGCCATAACTTTGGTGTTTGTTAAGTTAGGAAGTTGGGATTTTCTATGGGTTTTGTATTTGGCTAATCAATCCGACATGCCGAGTTTCATAAGGATCGGCCGACTATATCCTATAGCTGCCATACAACTGATTGATCGGAAATGCCATAACTTTGGTGTTTGTAAAGTTAGGAAGTTGGCATTTTCTATGGGTGTTATATTTGGCCAGCCAATCCGACCTACCAAATTTCATAAGGATCGGCCGACTATATCCTATAGCTGCCATATAACTGAACGATTGGAAATGTCATAACTTAGGTGTTTTTAAAGTTAGGAAGTTGGGATTTTTTATGAGTATTAAGAATGCATCATATGAATAATTTTGGAGAATATAATTTACAGAGTATTCTGCAAGGGTATATCAACTTCGGCTCCGCCCGAAGTTAGCTTTCCTTTCTTGTTTTTTGATCATATCTTATTTCTTATATTTAAAAGAGAAATCAACTCCTGAAAGAGAAGACTATTTCCGTGTTCACCTGCAATAGTGTATGGCCAAGTATCACAGTCTAAACGAAAATGGGCAAAGTGCTGAAAAATAATCGGGCTGAGTCCCTCAACTGCCTTTATCATCACGGGCGCAACTTGGCGTTGATAATGAAGGAAGCAGAACGATGGCCCACGGATGGTTGAATGCTCGCTGGTCAGTGCATTGTTTTCCTTTTTTTTTTTGTTTTTTACTGAGCTGTTCCAGCGGTTTGCCTGCAATTTGCGAATCCCAGAGACTCCGATTCAGAACCAGAGTGAACTATTTAGCAAAGGGAGCCAGGGGATCTGTTCCATCCGTTCGCGGAGCAGCAGGTGGTAAAGCGTAGAGAAATATGGTGCGGAACATTTCAATTAGAAAAAGCGGCGAAACGGCAGACTGAAGAAACCTCGGACCGACAGCCTGTCGTCGCCCCCAATCAGTGGATCCCCCTCCCCCCCACTTCGTCCATCTCCAACTCCCAGTTCCATGGAATATTCCCCGCCTTTGAAGTTGTGTTCGCCTGACACTGACGAACCGCGACTGTGGCCATATCATCTCCTCACCTTTTCCCCCCACAACCAGCATTGCCTGCTATTATTTCAATAAAAATTCTTTAATATTATTTTAAGTTTGTTATGGCAGGTTAGTTTGTTCTTTCGCCAGCCATTCTTTCCCCATTGTGCTCGTATTTAATCTTTATAATTAAAATTTAGCAAAAACTGAAAAAATTCAGCTTGAGGTGGGCGCCCTGGGTGCGAAGAAGCGCAAACGTGTTAAAAATTGATTAAAGTAATTGATTTGGAAGGGCTGGCGGTGAGGGGGCTTTGAGTTTTTGCGGATTATTCTTTATTACTCGCTACCTTCTTGAGTTTTTTATACCTTTGTTTAATTCGCTGTGGACAGCCGACTCAATTAAAACAGTGAGCGGTGTTTGCCTTTATTTTTATAACATTTTTATTCGAATTTATTTAGCTTTAAACGAACGATAAACTGGTGAAGTGGTGTGGACACGAAAGACTTAAATAAATAAATTCTCCTAAAAAATCAGATAATCTTTTATGTAATTTTATTAAAAATATATATGTCCAAATAATAAATTGAATAAAGAATTAAGAAACGAAAAAATGTATATTATTATATTTTATTTTCTTAAACGATTGAGTTATCTAGGACAATCTCAAAATGAAAGCAATACTATTATTACTATCGTATATATACATTTATTACATTTCAATTATCAATTTTAAATCCAAGAGATATTTTACTCCTCTGGAGCTTAAGACTCATTCATTGTGAGTTCTGTAAACTTGGAATGTGAAAACCAGCTATCTTTTTGATCTTCTGTTTTTCTCACACAGCGAATCGCTAATTGGATTCCAGACAAAGCAAAATATGATTGTAGGAGTGCATTTGTTTCGATTTCGTGTAGAAATCATATGGCAACCACAAGGAAATCTCAGCTTTGTCAAGTCAAACTCCACACACCAGACCCAATTTTCACACAGAATGAATAGGAGTGTGTGAGTGGAACCCACTGCACCACAAATCTTTCACTCGGTTTTATTCACCCACTTTTTTGTATTTCGTTTTTTTTTTTTTTTGCAATAAAACAGCAAAGGAAAAAGAAACCAAACTCCACTGTGCGTGTTGAACTCAGACTTTTGTGCCAAACATTTTCGGGATGGAGAAGTTAAGGGGTTTGTTTGGCTGAGCTCAGCTCAGCTAACGCCTTTTCGGTCTTTTACAGCAAAAGCGCGAAAGAGTTAAAAGGCGAAGCACAGAAAGCAGCAAAAACAGAAAAAGCATCGCAGCACCAAAGCATTTTCACCCTATTATTTCGAGCAATTTCATCAAAACTAGACTGGGGCCCGGCCTCTGCTCCAAATTGTAACCGCAAAACCTCCCAGTCCAGCTGCCCAGTTGCCCCATTGCAAGCCTTTGTCTACTAGAGATGAACTCGTGAGTCACGAGGTGGGAACTATAGAAAAAATTCTAGATTAATAGTTTTTCTAAGAAAATATTTTAAAGAAACATACATATAAATCAAAACATTTTAATATTGTTTGTTCATAATGAATTGTAAAACCACAAACAAGCCTTGATTTATGCACATAGAAATCTAGTTTCGTACTTCATTTTGATCTTAAATTAATGTAAGTTATATAAATACACATAACATAAACTATTTATATTGAATCAATATAAGCATCAATATAGCATTTTCGTAATTTACTCAATCTCTGAAGTTCAATGATTTCCTAACTTCTAAGTGTACCTGTTCGCCATCTAGTACCACCTCTAGTAGACTGCGGTCTTGTAGCTTTATTTCCACCACTTTTTGTCCACTACTTTGGCTTTTACCCCGTCCGCCGACCATCCTCCTGGTTCTTTTGCCATCGAGTTGTTGGCCGCTCTCAATAGAAGCAGACAGGAGCAGGTTTTTCTTTTTGCCTTCTTCCCAAATGGCCAGCAAACGGACTGTCGACTCTGTCGGCTGTGTTTTTCTTATTTGGTTTCCACTTTTATGTAGATTGGTATTTATTTTCCACGCGAAAACTAGCGAAAAGCGGGCAAAAAACCTGGGCCAGAGAAGCGGCAGCAGTTCTCACACTATAATATGGTATGGGGTTCGGTCTCTGGGCCTGCGGTTCCTTAACTCCCCTC